TGCTAATGGTTAACAATTTTCTTTGATTGTCCTGCATACGGGTGGAATGAGAGCTCTAGGGGTAAAACTCATATAATGTTAAAGTAAGTTTTCAAATATTTAGATTGGTTGTAAAGTAATAGTCCAGAAAATTTGATTGCCATCGTGCTTGGATTGCCACTTAGACAAAGCTTTTTGTGTTGAAGTCTGGAATATTATATGTGGAAAAAATGTTGCTGACTGCTTAATTGCATTAGGTAATAGTTTCTAAAGATTTTATAGAAGTTATTGTTTAAATTCAAAATATAAATAGTTACTTAAAAGTTATCTTGACATATACTAAAGGTAATATTGTAAGTATTTGGAAATAAGGGTCTCATTATGCAAGAGCTAAAATAGTACATTGGCATTAGTGAATTAAATTAATGACAGGTCATGTGTTCTTTAACTCTTGAGTGACTTTTTAAAGCCTGAATTATGGAGTTGTAAAATAATTAGATTTGGTTTGTACAAATCAGTGATTTGAACCAAACAATATAAATTTCCTGGTTTTTTAATCCACTAAGGAGGTTTGTTTACACATTTAGGCTGGATGTGGCGAATAACAGAAGTTAGGATATAACCAAAACATTTTTTTTCTGTAGTAAATCAAGAAACTAACTTATCATAACAAAATTGAAGAGTTTTAGAACTTTTATTCTTCAGCTATTAGACACAAACTTGATATTTAATTCTCTACTTTGTCAAACCATTTATGTTAAAATTATTTGGGGTTCATTTAGTTAAGATTGTTACTTGTTAATTTTCAGTCTTCTGGAGCAAATCTGTTATATATTGCCTCATATTCTGGCCTTAACAGGTTACAAATACTGGGAATTAAGACCTTCTACCCAAGTAGAAGTTACTTAGTGTGACACCCCCTAAATTGTTTGTTCCATTAAATATCTGCTGGTGCTTAAGTAGTACATTCTGTTTAGGTTTAGATAGCTCCTCTGGATTATTTCATACACAGTAATGTGAATATAAAAGCCTACCTGAGTTTAAAACTTAGTTTGCCTAAATTTATACAGGGCATTTGAAAACTTAGGAAAGTTTGAAGTTTAGTTGGAAGTTTAACAAAGTGTGATCAAACATTATGTGAAACCACGTCTAACTTTAAGCTTACTGCTTTAGTCCTGCTATGATTTTCTTGAACAGATACGTACTGTAGTTTTATTTCAACGAGCCGAACAGTCCGGTTGATTAATTTTCCATTAGACTTGGACAAATTGATTCAGAGGAAACTCCAGGTGAGCTAAAGTTTAAAACTATGTTTAGATTTTTTTGCCCCTCAAGGTGTTCTCTGTAAACCATAACACAAAATTTGCCTGGTATTCTCCATGGTTGATGCTGTCCTGTGGTATCTGGAACCCACTGAAGTCAAAACAAGAATCTTAACTGGCTGAAGTGCCATAAAGAAATAAAAACATAACAGTACTGAGTATTTATCAATAAATAAGTCTGTCAAGACTTACAAAGTTTCTAAAAATGCTGGAATGGATTTGTGTGCTATAAACATGAGCTGGTAATGTTTTACCCAGTGTAATGAAGGACTGATAACTTACATTTAAAAAGAATAGTGTTTGTGTCAAAAAGTGGGAGATGTCTGTTAGCTGTGTATCTGCAGTATGTCGGGTTATGAATCTATAGCTAAATATTGTCATTTATACATATATAGAGGTATATTGTACACATGGAAATTCAGCAAAAGTGCTTATGCAAAAATCTATTAAAGTTTTAGGTCCATGCAACTTTTACAAGCTGTATGTCTGAGAACAAATGCTTGTTACAGTAAATATAAACACTACAAATTCATCTTAGAAATCCCGTGGAATTTCCCATGTACGTTTGCAGTGGAAGGTTTTCGCAGTGATGTTTATTGAATTGTTTCAACAGAATGAAAAAATACCCAAGTTGAACTAAGTATCACTTTATATAGGATTTCTATCAGAAGATTACATCCTTTTGATCAACACTGAAAAAAAAACCCACCAAAAAAAGAAGAAAAAAATGCTCTTCAGTGGTAAACACTGTATGAATTGAGAAAACATGAAGTATCTGTTGTATCAACTTGAATGTTCCATAATGCTTTTTTTTCAAATAGGCCTAATTGTTTTCCATAAAATTAGTTCTTAACATTAAGTTTGATAAAACTGGGGACTTGCTATAGTGAAGTTAAATTGCATTGATACCATGGGTTAAAATAAGGGTCCTGAAAAATATTCCTTTTTAAGGTACACTGTACATAGGCTTAGTTTCTTGAGTAGCTACCAAAAAAATGGACAGCTACATCATTTTAATGGTGATAAATGATCCTCTAATATGTTTTGGAAAGAACTGTACTTGTTACAGATAGGGACACATTGAGTTGCATCTGAAGCAGGTTCTCGAAGATCATTTCTCTCAAAGCATACAATATTTCACTGTAGCAGTAAATAGAAATATGATGGGATGATACCTTTTATGCAGCTTAATAACAAGTGTTAAATTAATCTCCTTTGCGGAAGAAATGAGGTATTACTGTTTAAAATACCTGAAAGAATTTGGAGTTTCAAAACAGAGTTCTTCCTCCATATTATTACAAATGACAAAAGTTTTAAGAAACTGATTTATTTCTGAACAAAAATAGGTTTTTGCCATCAGAAGAGTGCTGCATCGAACTGGCTATGAGGGAAGAGAAATGACTGGCTGCTTTTTGAGGGCAAGAGAGAAGGAAGGATAACCCAAACGGCAGGGAGGGACGTTGCCAGCCGGTGTCCATCCTTCTGTCCCCAAGGGAGTCAAGTGGGGCAGGTACTGAAGTGATAGTCTAGTTCCACTGAGAGTCCACCTCATCACGCAGTTAAAGCCTGTAGTGCACTGGCTATACTAATAACAGCAGAATTTCTGTTCAATTTGAATTATTTTATATCTTGATACACTTATTTTTTCCTTCTGAAATATTTTTGTATTTTGCTTCTTTATATGATAGTCTTGTATTAGAGAAACACTCAGATTTTCAGAAGAAGTTACTATTGACCATCCAAAACAATATTTGAAAGGTGAATAATCACATGTTGCTTTTCCCCCCATAAGCCAAGACTGAAAGGATCTATAACCTTGTTTTGACAAGTGAACCAAGGAAGTATGACATAGAATTCTTACATGGAAACTAGGCTGTCAAGTTTACAAGGTGATTCTTTTCACATGATGAATTTTTTCAACAGTAAGTGGTCTGTAAACTACACTGATATTTTTCTGAGGAACATAAACTTATTTTGGCTATCCTGTAAGGAAAAGAGTTAGGAATAAATCTAAATATAAAATTTTGATTGTTGGAAACTCTAACTCGCTCCAGGCTGTTGTTATTTTTGCATTACATGTATCTTTTATCCAGTACATTTTACACCAGTCATTGACTGTTCTGCAAGCATGGTTGGACGAAAGATGAGTTTGAGTTATAGCTATTGAATGGTTTTAGCATCACATTCTATATAAACTCAGATATTTATGAAGAGAAAAGGGAGTGGATTTGTGTAGCACATCTGAATATAGGTATGCATGAGTGAACAACTGTATTTTCAGTATTCCTTTTATCTCAGTTCTATAAAGCACCATTTAATGTTTTTCCATTGGTTTCAGAACCTTCCCAGTTGGCCTACTGTCTTTTGCCAGAACAACTGACTGAAGTATTTCAGCATTTGAGAGAGTGCTTTTTAACTTCTACTTTCAATTACAGTGTCTTTAATTGCAGTTACATCTGTTAAGTTACTTTGAGTATTATATTCAAAGACTGATCTTCCCTCAATGTGTTACGTGTTGTATTTGTTTTACATCCAGACTTTTTAACCAGAAGGGTGACTAAGTCCCTGCTACATTCCAAAATGTTGGAAGTCTTTGAATTTTGTTATTTGCAAAGAGGTATTCTGTAGCTTCTGAAAATTTAACAAAATTATATATCCATGAAATATTTTGTAGTATTGTGCTATTAATTCAGAGCTGCAAGATACCAGGCTCTAAAGAACCTTCACTTTTGTTCTAACTTTGTTTTGAAAGAGCAAAACCCAAATCAGTAGTATAATTTCTGCTGAACAAATGCACAGTTCTGTTACTTGTAGGTCTACACTCATCTTTGACCAAAACTATCATCTTGACCTTGCATCTTAATCTGATGTTTTGTTTTGTAGACAGTTCACTTAGAAAAACTTTCAATCTGGTTTTCTAGTAGTGCCTCTAGGTAAATTTCCAACCAACTTTGTAACTGCTTCGTAAAAGACTATCGCCTGTAAGAAAAACATTGTATTAATTCATTCTGCGTTTTGTTTTTTTCTGATTTCTTTTTTTTTTTTTGGAGAAATATTTATATTGTTTTTACAGACAGAAAAAAATAACTCTTGCTCATGCTTTGCTTCTGATGTAAAGAATCCTGGGATTTAGTGTTTTAGTTTGACTAGGCCAGTGTTTTGGCAAAGTGTTTGTTGAGTAAAATGTCTACAAAGCAACATGACACTTGTTTTCTGGTACCTTACAGTGTTTTGGTCTGGATTTTTATGTTATAGTTACTTACAGTGATGTATTTCATTTCCAGAAAGCAGTTACCCCTTGGACAGAAATTATAAACACACAGAAAAGAAATTTACCCTCTAACATATTTATTTATTTTGATAGTTTCCAGTTATAATAGTGAGAATTTTCTTTCTAAATCTTATAAAAAAAGAAAGCTACTACTCTGAATAAGCTAAAAGAATAGATTTTTTTTAAACAAAAAAGAAAGATATTATGAAATTTATCTCTGCTTTTATTTTACAGATGTCCCTCTCTGTAGAACTCTACTGAGAACCTTGAATTAGGTTTACTATTCAACATTGATTTTATAATTCCCCACATAAACGCTTCCCTTATTAATCTCAGTACTTCCAAGGAACCAAAGGTTGTATGTTTTGATACTTACAGTCTGAATTTTTTAATTATTTACCCACTTTTCTCTATCTATCTTACAGATTTTGAAAATGGAATGGGCAGGAGAGTGTTCTCTTGATTCTTGCAATTTAGACTGTTTGTTAAATGTCCTTCCTGGAGAACTAGAGTTTCAACAAGTCCTTGGTGATCTTGATGAAAAAATAAAGAAGAACTCTTCTAGGTAAAGACTGTTTTATTTGTATCCAAAATCTCAGTGAAAGTCATTACATTCAGGAAGAAATACAACTTTTTTTCTTCTTTGTTTCCTAGTTGTAGGTTAAAATTCTGATAATTATTTCAGTAGTAATTTTGCCTTAACCACTTGAGCACTTAACAAATTTTTAATGCCATATAATTTTTGTGCTATAGCCTTTCTCTGCATATTTTTAACAGTTGAATCACCTTCGTCTCAGGAATTCTTGCAGTAGGTGTGATAGTGGGGGAATAAAATGTGTATTCCCATGACAGTTGTATTTCCTACACCTGTGAGATAGAATTTTTATTCACTAAAAGAGCTACAGAACTTGACAAAAAAGCAAAATTTGAACACAGTATGTTCTTTAAGCCTTTCTAATGGAAGCAGAAAATGCAAGTAAGTTAATATATATTATCTTTCTTACATAAGACATTATTTTTACCTATTTCAGTTAAAACTGTTATACTGCAATAGAAGATTTTCTAACTAGAATTTGTTTTGTAATATATTTCATTGTCCACTTCTTTGTGACGTACTGGTTTCCAAATATCAATGCTGTAGAAACAATAGAGTACTGAAAGAGCTCCTTGTTGATGTGAATTTTTTGCATGACTACAAAAAAAATCAGCTCAAGTTTTTGTGCCTTATTTGAAAAGTGGCAGCAGTATTATGTGGCTAAACTCTTTAGTACCTTTAGAATACTGTGAAAGATGCTCTAAGCATCAAATGAAGTAATTGCCTCTTTAAAAAATTAGGTGTACATTCAGAGACATTACAAATAGCAGAATTTGTATTAAATTTTGAAAGTGCTTGCCTTTGGATAACAGTAAACATTATAGAGCCATGTGATTTCAAAGAATGCCCTTCCTGACATCTGTTTTAAGACTGATGTGTAATTTTAATGAAGCCCACATTTTGGTCCTCCATTTTGGAGGTCTTTGTCTGCTCCCAAACAATTTCCGGAAGAATGGAGATAAACCATTGCTGTATCTCTCTGAAAACTGATTTAGGTCATCTCTGAATTACTATTATATTGCTTATGCTAAGCTGAGACATTTTTGGGGATTTTTATTTATATGACTCATATCTCACGTTTTGAACATATTCATTTAAAAACTTAGTGTTTACAAATGTATTTGCGATAGTAATAATCCTGTGGTATCAATGATAGTGAAGATCACGGAAATATGCTATTGTAGATCACTGCAGAATGCAGTTTCTTAGTACAATTTTCCAGCTGTTGACATCACTGAAATGTAGACACTTACTTAGAGTTCAGTTGATGCCATAACACAGTCAGAGGTACTCACATTTTGAGTTGCTATGGCCCTGCCTATCTGGGTAAAAACAGCATCAACATTTTTGGCAGATGTGTTGTCACCTCTTCAGCTATCAAGTAAAGGTGATTTTGTCATCATTGTGCAGAGCCAGCCTGAGAGTTAGAAAAATTATTATTAAGATGAGTCATTGGAATGCATGCTTTACTACTCTTTGGTTTTAGTGAGGGTAAAATGTGTGCTGCTGGTTGAGAAAACCTTTGGCTCTGGGAAAGCAGGCCAGCTGTTTGTTTCTTTTAATGGTACTTTATATCAGATCACATTTTATGTTGCATTTTACATTAACATCATCACAGTGGAATTATCTGTACATTTTTAAGAAGGCTGATTGTCCCCGTCTTAGGGACATAGTCCTACAAATTAAAAGGGATTTTTGCTGTAAGTTTGTGAGATCCAAATGGTATTATATCCAAGGAGAGCAGGAAATTGGGGTAGGGTGTGGTCCACAGCAATGCATGTCAGGAAAAGCTTTGTATTTCTGCTGAATAGACACTTAAGCTAGTTTTTAAACTGATTTTCACAAGGAAAATCAGAAAGTAGCCCTGTAGTTACCAGGTGATATTTTGCTCATGTAATATGTCAGCTTCAGAAATGGAGAGGAGTTTAAAAGAAGATGGACAGCAGCTGATGTGACTTTTAAATTAAAAAGAGTCCTTTTATTGCTAATATATTAGAGGTAGCATGGAATGAAATCATTTTCAAGTTACCATTGATCTTTGTAAGTGGTATGATAAGAGCAGCTCTATGTGCTACAGTGATACAATTGGAATACAATCCATTTTTCATCAGGGAGATTTATGATTTTATTATACCACAGAGAATAAACATAATAGTATACAGCATATATATATTTTTAGAAATAAAACATTGTGTAAAAAATTATGATCCAAAAGTGTGTAAATCACTTGAATGCTCATTTATTGCCTTCCAACTGAATAGCTTTTATAAAATTGTGTGACACGACAAATCAGATATGCTTTCCAGCAGTCGAATTACCTTCAGGATTTTTGTATTGTGCCAACTCTATTTGGTGCTATAACAAAAAAACAAAAAAACAAAAAGAAAAAAAAAGGGCCATCTGTGTGAAATTGTTTTATTTGTAAGTTTTAAGGGAGTAAGTGATCCATTCATTCACTACTGTATAACAGAGCACTTATTACACTTGAATGTTAACTTTATTTTTGCAGCAGTTTATAGAGACAGGTGAATATGAACTCTCAAAGCCAGTGTAATTGCTGGGCAGTTTTAATGATAGTCTCGGGTTATTCCAAAGTGTGAAATTGCGTTCATAATTTCATCAGGATGAACATTTGTTCTCGGTTGTCCCATCACATTTGTTTTGACTTTTACTGTTCATCAAAACTGAGGTTTTGGAATTTTTTTTTTTTTTCTAGTATGGAAGATTAAATTAGTAAGAGTTAATTTTTGAACAATCCACAGAACTAAACTTTCAGTTGATATTTAATACTTCTAAGCAGAAAATAAGGTACAGAGCTTGAAACCAAAATTACAGTGCATAACTTGAAAGTGATTTTAAGCATGAAATTTCTTCAACAGTTGATATTTTTTGTGTATTCTGTGCTTTCTTTAGTGAGTGATTAGCTGCCTTTTAGTGGTGATGAAGTGGTGATATATTCTATGAGACTGTAGGACAATGTGAGGTGTTGTAGGTCTTCTTCAACAGAACAATCAGTGAGAATTCAACAAAGCTGTTTACTAATGATTGTATCTCCACAATACACTGGAGACTATATCTTTGTGAGGCTCTTCACAAAGGCTTAGTTTGACTTCAATCTGATAAACTTCAACATGACCCTCTGTCTATTTAACAGCAATTCAGTCACCTGGGATTTTGATGAAGGTCTTTTTTGAAGGGCTTCAGTGAGGTCAATACTAATAAGTGCTCATAGCATTGTATCTAGTCCCATAACTGTTCAATATAAATTGTAATCATTATCTGAGCAACTAATAAGATCCTTAACTTCCAAATAATATGACTATCTGGAACGTACCTCAATAAGGGTGTTAGTATGACATTTTGCAATTGTTGGTTACAACTTTGGTGATTTGCATAGAAACACTTCCCACTATCAACACCTCACAGCAGAGGAATGGGGGAATTCCAAAGAGGGTGTTTAGCACTGCTGTCCCATTCCATTTTCCTGTATCAGGATTGGAGTGTGCAAAGGGTCATGTGTTTTTAAACTGGGATGTGCTGCAAGACTTATCTTTCTCTAGTTTATTTTGAAGAAAATCTTGTCATATTTCTCTCTGGAATTTTCAGGAAGCAACTATACCTCACTTGTTATTCAAGAGATTAGCAAAATCTTGGCGTCTCTATCCAAAATCCCAAGAGTGGTTGAATATTTGGGAGAATTTCAAACTAGAACTAATAGTAGAGGAATAAAATTGATAATTTCATCAGTTTTACTCAGACCTAATATTTATCAGAGCTCTGAAAAAGAATTTGACCCTTCTGTGTGACTGCAGTCTGCTTGCTGTACAAGTGCATTACTGTAGTATTTAGTTGAGCATTTACTACCTATTAAGATATTAGAATAATGTTACAAAAATCTGTGTCAAAATAGTATCTGTTTGTCTACTGACCTGCAGTAATTTCCAGGAATCAGTAATTAAACTGAGAAAGGAATGTAATTTTATTCCTATTCAGCCCATGTTGTCTTTTTGCATTATCAGTGGGTTTCTTAGCTGTTTCTTACCACCTTGCTGGCTGGACAGCACAGAGTTCCCCAGTGATTGTCTATTTTAATAGGCATAAAGTTTAAGTCCAATCTACAGTGATTATAATTGTGTCAGTATCTTAGGTGGTTAGTTAGCTGTCACGTACATCTGCAGAAGCTGTAATCAGTTCTTTGCACTATGAAATACCCCAATTAATTTCATATAAGAATACACGAGACAATGGTTTTTTAGCTTTTCTCTTTCACTATTATGTTTTGGTCATTGGAGTTGAAAGACTCCCATGTTTCTCTGCCAGTCTCCTGAAATGACTTATCAAGGCAAAGCTTACATCTTGAGGGCTGAAATATCTCAAGTCTTTAAAACAGGAATGGAAATTAAAGGTAGGTAGTGCTTCAGGTGGAACTGACAATTCTCGTATGGTTAAGCTGTTGAGTAGTTCTTATCTCGCTGACGTGCAGCAAAGTCGTCACTATTTTATTTCTTTCTGGTTTCAATGGTATAGTTACAGTTTTGGTGGATATGTTTTGTAAATAGCTAAATTAGAGATATGAACTACTGTGCAAAGTCCTCGCAGCTGGGACTGTGTTTTTGGTTTATGTCTTAAGGTCCAAGATTACAATAGGAAGAATTTGAGGGAATGCATTTTTTCAAGGTTTTTGGCTTTATAATAAGCCTGTAACCTTCAGACTCATATTTTAAAGAATTGCTGGTTTTGAAAACGAGCGTGAAGACGTTTGTCTTACCAGCTTTTTTCTAAAGACATAAAGTTTTTGTAGTCAGTCTTTCCATCAGTTTCGTATTACTGCTTACAAAATAATGTTTAACTTCATTCTTGCCAGTCTTGTTTTTAGTGGAACTTAGATACAAAATATGAATAAGAGAATAATATAGTCAAACTATGATAAAAAAGTTAACATACCCACAAATACGAGATGATAACAACAT